CATCCATGTTGCTGCAAATGGTATGTTTTATCTTTTTTGTGGCTGAGTAGTATTTCCATTGTGTGTGTGTGTGTGTGTGTGTGTGTGTGTGTGTGTGTGTGTGTGTGTGTGTGTGTGTATTTATCACAACTTCTTTATCCAGTCATCTATCAATGGACATTTAGGTTATTTCCATGTCCTGGCTATTGTAAATCATGCTACTTGAACATTTCACTAACCCTTTACAGTCATTTAAAATTTTTGCCAACTTTCGTGGGTGTCTCATCATTTCCTTGATTAGTGTGGTAGAGAATCATTTAATAAGCTCCTCATAAAGAGAAAATCATTCAAGTTTCCTCTTCTGTGAACTGCCTGTTTAAATGGTCCACCCATTTTTCTGTTGCACTGTGTTTTTCATTCCTTTGAACCAACAGTACTTTATAAACTCCAGGCACACACCTTTTATCAGCTATATGTTACAAATGTCTTCTCCCATTTGTGGCCCATCTTTTCACTTTCTTTATGGTATCTTTTGATGTAGAGAAGCTTACATTTTCAGGTAGTTGAATTATCAATCTTTTCATTAAGTGTTAGCACTCTCTATATCTTGTTTAGATGAAAGTCTTTCTTAAAGATCTTTTCCTGTATTGTCTTCCAAAAGTTTCATCTTTTACTTTTAGGTTTTTAATTCATCTGAAATTGATTTTTTTAAATGGTGTGAAGTCGAGGTCCAATTTTCTTTCTTTTCAAATGGGTAACCAGTTGTCCTATCACCGGTTACAGAAGAGCTTATTCTTTACCCACTGAACTGCAATCTTAGCAACCATTACCAAGTATCCCAGTGAAGGTGGTTGTGTTTCTAGGCTTTTTATTGTCTTATTCTTAGTTTGCTTATTCCCTGTGCCAGTACAACTTCCTCCTAGGCAGCACCAGCATCTGCTCAAATGCCTTCTCTGATTTTCAGACTCCTTTCTGTTTTTGGCCTCTGGGGATTTCCTTTACTTCTTGTAAGTTCAGTTATGCATTTAAAGGGATGTTTGTTAGATTTTATCCAGCATTTCTATGCTTGTAGTGAGAGTTTTTTTTCAGACTGTCTAGTTAATGATAATCTAACGATTGAAAGATGTTTGTGATCATCTCACCTTGAGGATATGAGGGAGAAAAGCACAAAGTGCTTGCATATTCCAAGTGACATTTTAAATAGCAATAATGATTGAGTATACTTTGGCTAAAACTTCACATTAAATAAAAAATCACTTTGTATAGGTCAGCAAAACCTGGTCTAATCTGGTCTAATGTGTCATTTAAGGCCAGTGTTTATTGATCTTCTATCTGAATGATGTACCCACTGATGTAAGTGGGGTGTTAAAGTCCTCTACTATTATTGCATTATTGTCGGTTTACAATCTTAAGAAGTACAAAGCTAGGGGTATTATACTCCCTAATTTCAAACTAACTACAAAACTACATTCATCAAAACAGTATGCTACTGGCACAAAAACAGACACATAAATGAATGGAACAGAAAAGAAAGGCCAGAAATAAACCCACGCCTACGTGGGCAATTAATCTATGACAAAGGAGGCAAGAATATGTAATGAAGAAAAGACACCCTCTTCAATAAAAGGTGTTGGGTAAACTAGACAACCACACACAAAAGAATCCAACTGGACTACTGTCTCACACTACGCACAAAAAATAAATTCAAAATGGATTAAAGACTTAAACATAAGACCTGAAACCATAAAACTTCTAGAAGGAAACATAGATAGCATGCTCTTTGACAATGGTATTTGTAATTTTTTTTTTCGTATGTCTCTTCTGGCAAGAGAAGCAAAAGCAAACATAAATAAATGGAACCTATTCAAACTAAAAATCTCTTGTACAGCAAAGGAAGCTATCAACAAAATGAAAAAGGCTACCTACTGAATGGGAGAAGACATCTGAAAACACTATAACCCATTAGGGGTAAGTTTATCCAAAATATACAAAGAACTCATACAACTAAACATCAAAAAACCAAAAAACCCAATTTTAAAAATGTATAGAGGATCTGAATAAACATTTTCCCAAGGAAGACATACATACAGCCAAAAGGCACATGAAAAGATGCTCAAAATCACTAATCATCATGGAAATGCAAATCAAAACCACAATGAGATACCATTTCAAACCTGTAAGAATGGTTATTATCCAAAGGACAACGAATAACAAGTGTTGCCAAGAATGTGGAGAAAAGGGAACCCTTGTGTACTGATGGTGAGAATGTAAACTGGTGCAGCCACTATGGAAAACAGTACAGAGATTCTTCAAAAAATTAAAAAAAGAAGTACCTTATGATTCAGCAATTCCACTCCTGGGTACCTATCCTACGAAAATAAAAACACTAATTAGAAAAGATATTCCCACCCCTATGCTCCCTGCAACATTATTTACAATAGGCAAGATATGGAAGCAATTGAAGTGCCCATCAATAGATGAATGGAAAATGTGGTATAATCAAAAAATGGGCAGAAGACCTAAACAGACATTTCTCCAATGAAGACATACAGATGGCCAACAGGCACATGAAAAGATGCTCAATATCGCTAACGATCAGAGAAATGCAAATCAAAACTACAATGAGGTATCACCTCACAGCAGTCAGAATGGTCATCGTTAAAAAGTCCATAAATGATAAATGCTGGAGAGGGTGAGGAGAAAAGAGAACCCTTTTACACTGTTGGTGGGAATGTAGTTTGGTACAGCCATTATGGAAAATAGTATGGAGATTCCTTAAAAAACTAAAAGTAGACTTACCATATGATCCAGCAATTCCACTCTTGGGCATACATCTGGAGAGAACTGTAACTCAAAAAGATACATGCACCCCAACGTTCATAGCAACACTATTTATCATAGCCAAGATAATGGAAGCAACCTAAATGTCCACTGACAGACACACACACACACACACACACACACACACACACACACACAATGGAATATTACTCAGACATAAAAAAGAATGAAATAATGCCATTTGCAGCAACATGGATGGACCCAGAGATTATCATACTAAGTGAAGTAAGTCAGACAGAGAAACACTTACATGTGGAATCTAAAGAATGATATAGGTGAATGTATTTACAAAACAGAAACAACTCACAGATACAGAAAACAAACTTACGGTTACCAAAGGGGAAAGGGGGAGGGGGCATAAATTAGAGGAGTCTGGGATTAGCAGATACAAACTACTATAAAATAAACAACATCCTACTGTATACCACAGAGAACTATCCTCAGTATGTTATAGTAATCCATAATGAAAAAGAATTTATGTACATACATATGTATAACTGAATTATTATGCTGTATACCAGAAACTAACACACTGTAAATGAAATATACTTCAATAAAACTGAATAATAAAAAAAGAAAATGTGTGTATATATACACGTATGTATGTATGTGTGTATGTATGCATTTATGTATGTGTGTGTGTATATATATAAAAATATATATAATGGAATATTAGCCATAAAAAAGAATGAAATCTTGCCATTTGCAGTAACATGGATGGACCTAGAGGGTATTATGCTAAGTGAAATAAATCAGAGAAAGATAAATACTATATGATTTTACTTATATGTGCAATCTAAAAAAAAAGAAATGAAAAATAACAAAGCAGAAACAGTTACAGATAAGGTGAGCAAACAGGTGGTTGGTTGTCAGAGGAGAGGGTGGTAGAGGAAGAAAATAAATAGGTGAGGGAGATTAAGAGGTATAAACTTCCAGTTGCAAAATAAATGAGTCACTGGTATGAAATATACAGAATGAGGAATATAGTCAATAACTATGTAATATCTTTGTAGGGTGACATACTGTAACCAGACTCATGGTGATCAGTTTGAAATGGAGAGAAATATCAAATCACTATGTTGTAAAGCAGGAACTAACATAATACTGTAGATCAATTATACTTCAAAAATAAACAAACTCACTCACTCACAGAAAGAGAGGTCAGATTTATGGTTACCAGAGGCAGGGGTTAGAGGAAGGTGCAACTGGAAGAAGGCAGTCAAAAAGGCATAAAATTCTAAGTTATAAGATAAATAAGGACTATGAATGTAATGTACAACATGGTAAATATAATTAACACTGCTGTATGTCTCTTTTCCCCAAGAAAAAATTTTTTCTATTTCCTTTTTTTGTATATATATATACATATATATATATATATATATATATTTTAATTGAAGTATAGTCAGTTTATAATGTTGTGTCAAATTCTGGTATATAGCATGATGCTTCAGTCATACATGCACATACATATATTAAACAATTTTCACCATGGGTTACTACTATTTCTTTAATTTTGTGTCTACATGAGGTGATGGATGTTCACTAAAATTTACTGTGATAATCCCTTCATGACGTATATAAATCAAATCATTATGCTGTACTCCTTGAACTTACACAGTGCTCTATGTCAATTACATCTCAATAAAACTGGAAAAAAATAAAATGTACTAGAGGATGTGCATAGGTTAATGCCAATACTATGCAATTTTATATAAAGGACTTGAGCATCTGCATGTTTTGTTATTCACGAGGGGAGCTGGAACAAATATGCCTCGGATGCCAAGAGATGACTGTACTACAACTTATAAAACAACAAAGGTAAAATAAACATGACAAAATATTTAAAAATAAAGAAGGCTCTGACAAAATTGTGGCAATTTACCAACACAAGGATGTTTTTATCATTCATCTAGAAATGCAACCCAGTATTATATTCAGTTTATTTTGGAACAGCTATCTTTGACAGTCAACGCTCAAATGGCACCAAATTATTAATTTTTTAAATTTAAGCTTGCACATATGAAGAAAGTAACATGCTGGGTAAGTTATAAAGTATAATCTCAGGCCTATGTAAAATTATGACTGCTTTCAACAATTTCTGAACTCTTTTTTTCAAAGAAAATCTTCACACTAATGTAAATTTGTCCATGTAACAGACTGAAGAAAGCTACAAATCTAAAATTCTCAAAACAACACATAACTACTAAATGTTATGTTGCAAATCAACTTATTTCCTGTAAAATTTCACTAAATAGTTCTAAGGAGTACAACAAAATATTAAAATTCCCACTGCTTATCCAAAGAATTAAACAGTCTTCTTTGATTTCTTCCTCTCTGCTTCTTCCTTTTCCTTTTCTATTTCATTTACCTGTAATTCAATTTCTTTGGCACTAAACATCTGAAAAGAGAAAAAAATTTTAAAAAGCAAATTTCGATTACAGCAATAATCTCTAAATATTTAGAATGTGAAAGGAATCCAATTGTATTTTATACATTTATATTTTCAATTTGTAACTTTGTATCTTATAACTTCAAATATATAATGAAATATTTCAGAAGGTTCAAAAGCAACATAACAATTATGGACAAAACCAGAACTCTATGACATTTCCACTACCATTGTGCTAAAACAGAAGCAGGGCCAATGTAATACTTCATTACATACCCTGTATGTTCACATAACTCTGAAAACATTTTAACGCCAGGCTTATTCTATTCATGAGGAAACAACTAATTACTGAACTCCTACCTCTACCCTACTGTGTGGTTCTTGATAGGGTCTGTCTATTTTATCAGCTCATAGACTAGCTGAAGAAGTAGGAAAATGATGATTTACACTGTGCCTTGTTTACAACTCCCTCACTAAGTAGAAAGCACAAACAGCTTTTATATTATTTAAATCCATTTTATTTTATTTAAAATTAAAGATGGAGCAACCTGCTCAAGGTCATACTGTTAAACAAATTTATCTGCTGAAGTTAAGCCCAGGTCTATCCAATTCCAAAACCCATGCCCTATTCACCACACAGCCTATTCTGAAGTATCATGTGGAAGGGTAGTGTAACTCCGCTGCCAGTATTTACCATCCTACCACTCATAAGTAAAAATATGTGTATATCAGTGTGTGTGTGTGCATGTGTGTCTATGCAGCTGTCTACATATGTATGTGATGGGGCTGGAGAGGCGGCTCTGGACTCAGTGGTTCTGTGTACTTGCGGTGTTGGCACATCTGTCCCTGTCTGTGGCAGCAGGGTGAAAGCCCAGCCCTGATCCCATCTCCATCCTCTGCTCAGCACCCTGGTTATTTATGTGGAGCCATACAGGCACAGACCCAACCGCCCTGTCCCCTTTTCTTTTATTCATTGAAATTTTGCTCCTGCCTTGTCCGTGCGTCCTCATCCACTGGTGTCAAAACAATAATGACAACAACAGCAATACTGCCAAAAAACAAAAGCAAAGGGAAAAACTTCACTGCTCCACACAGCACTGATTTTAACACTATTTTCCCTTGAAATATTTTCTGTAAAACAAAGAAAAGGTATACATAAAATAATACTTTTTTAGTGCACTTTTCAGTTCCCCATGCAAGTGCTTTTGTACACTTTCAGCTAAAGAGAGCTAGCTGGCAAACCATAGCATGCAGCTCTCCCTAATGAGCAACAGTGAACCACATTTCAAGTGCTCTTTACCAATGAGTCCTCTATCACAATGTTTGGAACAATTTATCACATTGTTCTGAACAATTAATTTTGTGGTCCAGTGGTTTTAACCCATAATGGCTGAAAAGGGGTGTACAAATAATAGTGCTAGACTTGCCATAAAAAATATGGAAAGATCATCACACTAGGTATTAAAATGTAAGTCTTGCAGAAGCTCAAGGCACTCAAAAGTGAAAAGTAGAAAAAAAAGATAAAACCAGTAGGCAATCAAGAAAGAGTGCTTCATTTTGACATAATGAAGGATAACATCATATTAGAAGCCTGGAGGGCCAACAATTATATAAATAGCAGCTGAATGACACTGGCTGGAAGTGTATCTTGATTTCAGAAGATCTAAAAAGACAGAAGAGTAACTGTTCTCCACATTGTGCTAGAATGACTCTCCATAGGGCATATGCTACACTGACCCTGCACAGGACTAACTCAGCAGGGGTTCCTACTTATAACAACTATACTAAATGGGGTCGACCTATACAGAGATCTCAGTACCTCTAGGTCTTCACAAAGGGCTAGAGATAGGTAACTGCTTGCAATAAGCACATAAAATTAGTGAATATTAGCCTATAGAAACAAAACAGAAGTCATCATAGTGTCAATGGATCTAATGGATGTTTCAGGCTTATGATGAACAGATGTCAACACATTAACTTTTGTCACCTTATACTACAGATTTTTTTTTCTTGTTAGGTTAATGACTTACCTTCAAAGGTTGGTTTCTTCTTATTATAGCAAGTTCAATGTTTTTTCCACCAGACTGGACAACCTAATGTAGAACAAATGCAGTATCAGAATTACTTCAGGAAATTCTGTGTTCTAATAAGCAACTGAATAAATTAAAAAAACCCACGTTTTTCTGAATATCCTTTATTAGATCACTTACTTCTAGCAAAGCTCGTATTGCTAATTTGATAGCTTCATTGTCATTTGCTATAGCATCTTCTGTGTAATTCTTTTCTAGAAATTCTCGGACAGTTTTAGCACTTCGACCTATTGCATTTGCCTTGAAAAATAGAAGACAATTATTAATATCACTACAATATGAACAAATTTATGGTTACTAAGTTTAGAGGGTTAGTTTACGCCAATATTTCTTGGCAAAATCTTATTAGAAAGTACAATATGTAGTATTGCTAAAATGATAATAGAGCATACATGTGTGTCTGCACATGCACACGCCATTCATACATACCCTCCCTTCCTCCACCACATGTCATACCACACCACAGCAAAGCATACTTTCAGACCTAGATGATAAATGAAATCCCCAACAATTAAAAAGTACCATGATTTACCTAACTAACTGACTTTGAAATAAAAAGGAAATGGTTTTCTGTATAACCTCCAGGGAGCAACCAAATTAAAATGGAAAATTACATAAACTTGAACTGGGTTATGACATTGAAATGAAAGGTCACAACATTAATGATAAATGCAAATAGAAGATGACAGACTTAAAAATATTTAGAGAAAGACTGAGTGTAATAACTTGCTTTGTTTAGGGATTTGGGAGGCACAAGAAATCTAGTACCTGTAAAAGATTTCCAACTGGCAGAAAAAAAGTCTGGTATTTGCATCAGGTAAATTAATAGCTTCTGGTTAGCACTTAGATTGTCCAGGCAGCTTTCTAAGTTGTGTAGCTAATAACACTAGTATTTATATTTCTGTGCAGTTTAATCCACTTTTTTATTGGCCTGGTTAATTGGTCCATAAAACAGCATCTTTTGAATATAGTCGGCTCAAATCAAATCCTTTAGTTAATAGAGACTTAAAGATAAAGTATTTCCCATTAATTTATTTGGCTCTTAATAATAGTAAAATAAATTTCATAAAGTTATTTAAAGCCTGAGTATTTAAACTTTAAATAAAGTCAAAATCACTTAGGTTCTATAGTGTAATTTTATTCTTATGTATGAGAATATACAAAATTTCACTTCTGGAAACTGCCACTAGTTTCCCTAGACCCTAGAATTTTGTATTAGATTTGAGTGCACCATTAAACAAAGTTAGTAGTTGGGTATTGAAATAAGAATAACAACTTATCCAGAAAACAAACTATATTCCAGAAATTAGGTGGATACAATTGTAACACACTAACACCTAAGTACAGATTCACAGTTTGGGGTGCTTTGATTCTCCTAGAATAGAGGATGCATTAAAGATTTCAGTATGGGGTTTAAAAGTTCATTTAATTCTTTTTTTTTCTTTTTTGGGGGGAGGGAGGTAATTAGGTTTATTTATTTTAACTTTTAGAGAAGGTACTGGGGATTGAATCCAGGATCTTGTGCATGCTAAACATGTGCTCTACCACTTGAATTATATCCTCCCCCATAAAAGTTCATTTAATTCTTTATTAAGAGCAAAAAGACAATTTTTACTCAAAGCAGGCATCCATATATACAATACTAACACAGAAGAATGAACAACGAATAGAAATTGAGTATTTACCTTACTTGGCCATTTATACACATTTAGGATTGTCACATTTTTCAAAAGTGAGGAAAAGATGCTGTAATTAATAAAAAATGTTTCTCTAACATCAAAAACCATCATAGTTTCTGACTAGCTAAATCGTTAAAGTTTATACCACCATCAATATTTTAATACATTATCTTTTTTTATCACGTCCCTGAAAGTGATAAGGCATTTACACTGAGTACATTTACTCAACTTCTATAATATATTAACAAATTCATGACTCGCCTTCCAAGCATGGTAAGTACCAGAGGGATCAGTCTGATATAGTCTTGGGATACCATCATCATCAAAACCTACGATTAAGGCAGAAATACCAAAAGGTCTTCGTCCATTGCTCTGAGTGTATTTCTGAAAAATAAAATGTTTTCATAACTACTTTCTATGAGGCCAAAGAAAGGATAACACTATTATTTATCAAGTAACAAATTCTAACAATAAGTAAAGTATTCCTGGCAAAATAATCTTCTTTATCAATTCGTATTCTCTATAACTTCAAGATCCTCTTCCTGATCTTTTCTGGACTAACTTCGATCCATAATGAAATTTTTAAGAAGTTAATGTACACAGTATGTAAAATACAATCATAAGTTTGCTTATACATGGTCTTAAATTTGTTTTCTTGTTGCCTTATGTATATTTTGGCATCATAACTAGGCTGATCTTTTTGTTATAGCAGAGAATTGTGTACGTCACACCATTCTGGTTCCCGGTAAAGCTGATTTCAATGAGCTGTGCCTTGGAAGCCTGTCCTTGGTTTACTTTGAGGGACACTTTGTTACTATGATCATCAAATATTCTTACTTGATAATATTATTATCAAGTATATTCTGTTCACTATATACTAAGTTACCTTCACATAAAAACCCAACCAAGACATTCCTTCAGTCCTATGACAATGAAATTGTTGTTTCTTTTGAAGAAAAAGCATGTTTTTCCCTCACTGACAATGGGGCACTGGAAACTAATTGTATTTCTATCTTTAGTGCCAGGAACTTCCTAGATTTGTGGTCCAGGGAGAAGAAGTCACACAAATTATGAGACTAGTGCCCCTAGAAGTTGTGCAAAGAGTCAGCCCTGGCAGAAAACTCAGGACTGCATCTGTAGGCAGCTGTAGGAACCATATACAAGTCTGTGGCTTGAGACAGCTTTATACTCTCTGTCTTCTTGGATTTGTCTATGTAACAATCTATTTTTTAATTTTAATTTTATTATATGTATTTTACAAGCCACTTCAAATTTTGAATGCCAGGTGGGCTATAACATAAAGTCTTAAAGAATAGGGTCTGTCTTAATTTCTCTGTATTTCCTAATGTTACTAGTTCATACTTAGATATGAAGTAGATGTTTTGTAACTATACCTTAGGGAAGAGATATTTTTACTTTACTTGCTTAACCACTTTTTCTAATGAAAAGGTAATACATGTACAAGCTTAAAATAATTTAAAACTACAAAAGGTGTACATGAAAGATAATTCTTTTGTCCCAGAGGGTCAGGTCCCTCCCCAGTGGCAACCCTACTGTTACAGATTTATAATGTATATTTCAATTAAAGTTCTACACATAACAGCTTTTATATTTCCAAAAGAAAATATAAAAACCACAATTGGGAACCTTGTATACACAGTGCTCTGCACCTTGTTTTTTGGTGGGTAACTTTTTAATGACTGGGAAAATCAAAGCAAATAAAAACGAAAAGTAGAACAACATAAAAATGTTGAACTTTCTTGCAACATAAATTAAATTAAAAAATAGGATACTTTCTTATAAGTATGTAACCTAAAGCTTTAATATCTAGAATATATAGAATCTATAAAAAAACCTCTACATAGACAAAGGGTAAAATTTATGCCAGAAAGTATTCCAAATCCTTTAAATGAACTAAATCATTTAATCCATACTGCAACTCGATAAACATTATTGTAATGTTCATTTTATGAATAAAAACATTAAGGCAAAACACACTAAACAGTTTGCCTAATGCACTAAACTAAGAATTAGCAAAGTCAGGATTCAGACCCCAAAATTCTGGCTCCTGGGGGCACATTCTTAACCACTAGAGTGACTGTCAAAAGGAAAGATAGTTTACACTAAGAGAAATGAAAATAGCAAACCAACATGTGGGAAAAAAATCGACCTCACCACTAATTATAAAATACAAATTAAAACAACTATTATAGTACTCTGTTACACTTATTTGCAAAATAAAAGAAAAATGAAAAATCCAATGCTGATGATTCTTCGGGGATGCATTTATGCATTGCTAGTTGCACAATAAAAATTGGTTCAATCTTTTTAGAAAGCAATTTAGTCACATATAACAAGAGTCTTAAAACTAATTACAATTTCTAATCTACTACTCCCATACTGAAAATGAATTTAACAATATAATTTTAAAAAGAAAAATGAAAGCTGTGACAAAGACACAGTAATGTTATTAAAAGTAATAAATTGAGAGAGAGAGAGAGGGAGAAAGAGAAGGGATAATGAAAGAAACTGGAAACAATCTAAATAATTACCAGATAGCTACAAGAAATAGTTATATAGTCAGTAAGAATGGTAAGTACAAGGACCACGTTAATATATGTAAAGAATATAGAAAACGATAATAAATGAAAAATACTCGTATGCATCATGATTATATTTAACATCAAATCACGTAGCTACACATGGATTCAGAAGAAGTCATATCTAAACCTCACTAGTTGTGGTTAGCTTTGTAACTGAAAGAATCATAGATATTTCTTTGGAAGACTTTAAAAAATGTTTCTCACTACTATATCTCCAGAAGTATAGAAATGTCCTTAAAGGTTAGACTTTATGCTTTTTAAAAATTTAATATAATTACTAGAACTGATAATGACTGAGATTTCTAGTGATAAAATCAATCTATTCCATTGGAATAAGAATGTGAGTATGAAGTAAGTGTGAGAAAGAACAAGAGATTTAGTAGATTTAAAAGACTAAACAGGTTGGAGTGACCATAATATTCCCATGATAGGACCCATAATGATGCAAAAGGAGAAAACTTGAAGAAATCTTTTGGAATACTGGCTTACCTGTTTTAAGGTTGCTATGAAGCGAGTTATATATTCTACAGAGACGGGGTCCTCAACTGTAAGCTTATGACTCTGGCACTCCACACGGGCTCTATTTATTACTACTCGAGCATCAGCAGTCAGTCCTATAAAAGTAGTTGAAACATTATAGAAAAAGGATGACTTTTTTTCCTTGTCAAAAGGAGTTTGGCCACCATGATATCTGTCTTATAACATCCTTTGTTTTTCCCAATATATATCTCTTAAAAACAATTTGTAAAATAGAGCACTATTCATCCTAACTCGATTTGTTTCCTTCATTTGATCCATTATTTATTTCGTAAAGAAAATGGTTTTAAAGAATAATGTTTAAACACTAATGTTAAGCGAACTATTTCCCAAAGATCAAAATGGTTTAATTCATAGTAGTCGGTTTGGTTACTAGGTTTCATTAAATTTAAAAAAAATCTCTGCAGTCATATTTTTAAAAACTTTTTTGAGAAGATGTCAATAGCAGACTGTTCAAAGACTGACAGTCTATCCTGATTCCAGAACCAATATACCTTTTTTTTCCCCAATACACTTATCTAAACCATGAAGCTGCTGGATGTATGTTACCAATCCTAACTCCCCTACCCCCAACCACCACCTGGAAAAAAACCAAAACAAAACATGAAGTAAACTGGATTTCTTCTTATGAAACTTCATTATCAAACATATATCTACTGAATTCAGTCTGCATTCAATATAACCATGACCTGTCATTTCGCAGCTTTTTGTCCAAGATTAAGAGTTTGAAAATCAAGAATGTTAAAACAGAAGAAAACACTTCATCTTGCTTTTATCATACCAAAATATCATGTGATTAATTTTCAGCACTTCTAAAAGGAGATAGAATGTGTTTATATCAAAAGAAAAACAAACTGACCAAAAACTTAACAGATTTCAATGGTTGCAAACACTTCTATTAAAGACTCCTTTGGTATTTGACTTTCCCATCACCACTTTCTTTTTCCACTCTTAATACTACATTGCCCAAAAAATGCATTCACAAAATCTCTGACACAGCCATTTCTCACATAACCATCAGTCTTTTGCAGTCACAAACTCTTGTTTATTATGGTAAAATACATGCAACATAAAATTTACCATTTTAACCATTTTAAGTGTATAGTTCAGTGGAATTAAGTATATTGACACTTTTGGGAAATCACCACCATCCATCTCTAGTACTTTTTTTATCTTCCCAAACTGACTCTCTGAAGCCATTAAACAACAGCTTCCCATTCCCCGTCCCCCACAGCCCTTGGCAACAACCATTATACTTTCTGTCCCTATGAATGTGACTACTCTAGGTATCTCATGTAACTGGAATCAAACAGTAATTGTCCTATTGTGACTGCTTATTTTACTTAGCACACTGTCTTTTAAGGTTAATTCATGTTGCAGCATGTCAGAATTTCCTTACTTTTAAAGGCTGAATTATATTCAATTGTATGTATACAGCACATGTTGTTCACCCATCCATCCAGAGATTGTTGTTTCCATATTGTGGCTACTGTGAATAATGCTGGCTAATGGAATAACACGGGTGTACAAATATCTGTTTGAGTCCCTGCTTTCAATTCTTTGGGGTCTATATCCAGAAGTGGAATTACTGGATCATATAGTAATTCTATGTTTAATTTTTTATTGAACTGCCATATTGTTTTCAAAAGTGACTGTTTCAGAGTTTGAAGATACTTGCTACAAAAAAAAAGGGATATTCCATTTTATATTCTCACCAACAGTGCACAAGGGTTAAAATTTTTCCACATTTTTGCCTATACTTGTTATTTTGTTTCTTTGTTAACAGCCGTCCTAACGTGTGTGACATATTTCATTGTGGTTTTGATTTGCATTTCCCTAATGATTAGTGATGCTGAGCATCTTTTCATTTGCTTATTGACCATTTTTATATCCTCTCTGGAAAAACATCCATTTAAGGTCTTTGCTTATTTTTGAATTGGGTTGTTTCCTTTTTTGTTGTTGTTAAATGTTCCTTATATATATATTCTGGCAATTAATCCTTTATCAGATGATTTTACAAATATTTTCTCCCATTCCATGGATTGCCTTTTCACTCTGTTAACTGTGTCCTTTGAAGCATTACAGTTTTTATTTTGAGATAGACTGATTTATTTATTTATTTAGTTGGCCTCTGATTTTGGTGTCATATCCAGGAAATCACTGCCAAATCCAATCTCATGAAGCTTTTGCCTGCCCTTTGTTTTCTTCTAAGAGTTTAAAAGTTTTAGGTCTTAAGTTTTTAATCCATTTTGAGTTAATCTTCACATGTTATTAGGTTAAGGTTCTACTTCATTCATTTGCATGTGGATATCCAGTTTCCCCAGCACCACTTGTTGAAAAGTATTTTCTTTGCCCCCATTGAATGTCTTAGCATCCCTATCAAAAATTGACCACATATTTGAGGATTATTTCTGGGCTCTCTGTTCTAATCCACTGATCTATGTGTGTTTCTTTATGTTACTACTACACAGTTTTGATTACAGTAGCTTTGTAGTTAGTTTTGAAACCAGGAAGAGTAAGTCATTCAGATTTGGTCTTTTTCAAGACAGCTTTTGCAATTCAGGATTTCTTGTTATTCCATATGAATTTTAGGATGGATTTTCCTATTTTTGCAAAAAAATGTAATAGGGATTTTGACAGGGATTGCATTAAATCTGTAGATTGCTTTGGGTAGAACTGGTATCTTAACAATATTAAGCCTTCTAATCCATGAACAGGGAATGTCTTTCCATACATATGTCTTCTTAATTTCTTTCAGCAATGTTTTATAGTTTTCAGGGGACAAGTCTTTCTAGTTTCTCATTTCCCTTACTTTTCTTTTCAGATTGTTCAGTATAAAAACACAACTAATTTTTGTGTGTTGATTTTGTACAAACTTTGCGCAACTTTGTGTGATTCAATTATTATCTCTAATACTTGCTTTGTGTAGAATCTTTAGGATTTTCTATAGTCAGGACCGTGCTGTATATGAAGAGAGATAATGTTACCTCTTTCTTTCCAATTTGGATGCCTTTTTTTTTTCTTCTTGCCTAACTGCTCTGGCTAGAACTTTCATTACTATGCTAAACAGAAGTGGAAAAGCAGATATCCTTTTCTTATTCTTGATCTTAGTGGAAAAGCTTTCAGTCTTTTTGATTGACTATGACTGTTATTTGCTATGGACTTTCATACATGATCTTTCTTATGTTGGTAAGTAGGTAGGTAATTTCCTTCTACAACTAGTTGGTTGAGTATTTTTTATCATGAAAGGATGTTGAATTTTGTCAAATGTTTTTTTCTGAATCAATTGAGATGACCATGTAGTTTTCCCTCATTATATTAACATGGTATATTACGCTGTTAGATTTTCGTATGTTGAACTATCTTTGCATTCCAGGAATAAATTCCACTTGGTCACGATGTATAATCCTTTTAATATGCTGAATTTGGTTTATTAGTATTCTTTGTTTAGGATTTTTATATCAGTATTTATAAAGGATATTGATCTGTAGTTTTCTTGTGGTGTCTGTCTGATTTTAGTATCAGGATAATGTTAGCCTCACAGAATGAGTTTGGAAGTGTTCTTTCTTCAATTTTTTGGAAGAGTCTGAGAAGTACTGGTACTAATTCTTTGAATGTTTGGTAAAATTTACCAGTAAAAACATCTGGTCCTAAACTTTTCTTTACTGGGTTTTTGATTACTGATTCACTGTTTACTCAACATATATCTGTTGAGATTTTCTATTTCTTCTTGAGTAATTTCAAGTAATCTGTATATTTCAAGGAATTTATCCATTTATCTCATTTGCTGGTATCTGATTGTTCATAATACTTTCTTATAATCCTTTTTATTTCTGTAAAATCATTAGTAATGTCCCCCTTTTCATGTCTGATTTTAATTGAGTCTTCTTTTATTCTTAGTCCATGTAGCTAAAGGTTTGTAAATTTTGCTATACAGAGGCAAATAAACACATGAAAATATGTCCAAAATCATTAGCCATGAGACAAATGCAAATTAAACCCACAACGAGATATCACTACACACGTAAACAAACGTCTAAAATAAAAAATAGTAACAACACCAAATACTAATAAGGATGCAGAGAAAATGAATCATTCATTGCTAGAAAGAATATAAAATAGGACAGCCTCTCTGGAACAAATTTTGCAGTCTTTTATTAAACTTAACATGCAGTGTCATATGATCCAAAAATTGTACTCAAGCATTTTCCCAGAAAAATGAAAACCTATGTTCACACAAAAACTTGTACACAAATGTTCACACCAGCTTTATCTATAAAAGGCAAAAACTGGAAATAATTCAAATATCCTTTAAATGATGAGTTGTTAACAAAATGTGGCATATCTCATACCATAGAATACTATTCAGCAATAAATAACAATGCACTACTGATACATGCAGTAACTTTGATGGACTGCAAGGGAATTATATTGAACAAGAAAAACCAATATGAAGAGGTTATATGCATACGTTTTCATGCAAAATTACAGAGATGGAGAATAGATTAGTAGTCACCAGATGTCAGAAACAAGAAGGAGGAATAGCATGATGCAGCCTTGTGGTGACTGAAAAGCTGCACATCTCAATTTTGGTGATGGCTACATGAACGTACACAATCAGTCTACTAAATGTAAACTCACACACAGGTGCACACAAATCAATTCATGCAGAACTGGTGAAATCCGAATAAACTCTGTGGTTTGTGCCAATCTCAACTTACTGGTTTTTAAAGATGTTACCATTGAAGGTCACTGGGTAACAAGTAAAGGGGCTTCTCTGTGTTTTTTTTTTTGTAACTTTCTGAGTATAATTATCTCAAAGTAAAAAGGTTAAAAAGAAAACAGGGAGAAAGTTATAATTAGGGTAATATATATCTTTTAACATTTATGTTTTAGTAAAGTTCATTATCAGAAATCCTGGCTTACAGAACTGTGACTTCCCAGAAAAGATAAGGCATACTATTTGTGTTTAATAAGCAATAGAGTATAACTCTGTATGCTATACAGATATAGCATAATAGCTATCGTGAGGCCAAATGCATTACCCTACTGTACCAAGATACTCTGTATCATTACTGTAGGTTGCGAAGTACCTGCAAAAGCCATGCAGACATGGTCATCAAGGGCACAAATTTTCCTCACAGTTCTTTCATCTTGAAGCTTGGCAACAGATTTTTTTTCAACGCCGAGCACAACTATATTAGTGCCTCGAATTCCAACCTGTTAAGTCATTAAAAAAATAGTGAGTTGTCAGTTTTAACACAAAAATCAAATTATTCTAACACACAGCTTACAAAAAAGGCTTTTTCTTTAGCCTTCAATAAAAATGAGAAAAGCAGATTTCTAAGAAAACAGATGCATAGGTATAGGCTTATTGGAAGTCCATTCCCCAAACTCAAAGCAAAGATGACAAATAGATACAAATTAGAAGAAGATACCACCAATACTGAAGCTACATGAGTGTCCTAATCTCATACAATACAGCTAAAGAAGTACTATCTAAATATAGAACAATTTTAACCAAAATGAAAGAAGATGCTGGGAATACATGCGATTTCCTTGCAGAATGGGCAGTACCAGTATTGGTGGTAGCAGAAGTAGTACAGAAAGTCAGTAGACAGACTCCTGAAAGCTCTTCCATGTATTTCACAATTTGGAGGGATGAGGATCAGGGGCCATAAACAGCCAAGAGAAAAGACTGAATGCCCTCGTGCTAGATCAGTGATAAACAGAGTCTCAACTGAAACATGAATATGGCAAGAAGAATCACTATTGCTCTTCCCTCCATTCCTCCCCTTGGGAAGGAAGTAGGAAAAAGTCTGATGAATAATGTATAAGAGTAGTAGTTCTCAGACAGGACTTCTGGGGGAACCTGACTATTTTCTCAGGGGTTCAAGAGTAATCTATGAGAATTTTAATTCTGTATAAAATGGTAATCTAAATACTTTGAGAGGCATTAGTGTTTTATGATTGCCTTGTGACTAAATGTGAAATTAGTACTGTTTTATACAACATAACTAGGCAAAAAGGTGTGCTTCAATTAGTATTATTGAAGTAAAAATATAGAACAAGTTAAATATATAGAATTTGACCTGGGATTACATCCTTCAACTAAATAAAATACAGACAATTTATCAAGGCTTTTGCTCTTATTGTTTCCTCACTTCAAGTCTGTCAGTTTATCCCACAGTCCTTCTCTTACCATCCTATCTAAAACCAGCAACCCTCCCTCCACATCCCATCCTTACCTAATAAGCACGTATTGAACTTTACGCCCCACAGAGAATATGCCTTTCTATCAAGCCATGGGATATTATAACAATTTAACATACATTAGGACTCAAAGAAAATCTCAGTATTCCCCCAAATTGAAATAAATCAAATTAAATTCACTGATCACAAGACAACATAATAATTTTTATAACTCTCATCTAAACAATTTTTGACTGGATAAAGTAAACAAAACTGTTAACACAGACTATTTAGAAAATGTTTATAATAAACCCTAATATCAAAGTGTCTTGATGTGAGGAAGGTATAGCTCATTGGTAGAGTGCAGGCTTAGCATGCATGAGGTCCTGGGTAGAATCACCAGTGACTGTCAAAAAAAAAAAAAGTAAATAAATAAATAAACCTAATTACCCTCCTCTTCAAAAAATAAATACAATAAGACAAATGCAAAAAAAAAAACAAAAAACACACAAAAACAAAGCAAAGCGAAACAAAACAAAACAAACAAAGTCTCTTGGATGTGGACAAAATTATGCTCAGAAGAGAATTCATAATCTCACTTTATAAAACAAATAAAATTAAGAATTCATTCAAGAAAGTCAAAAAGGTATAAAAATATTATGCTAAACTTAAGGGGCAAAATAAGGCAAAAGCAGAAATTAATGGTTGGGGGAAAATAATACAATTGATAAATAATACCAAGTTTTTAGTTTTAAAGAAATGATTAAAACCAGTTATCTCAGTTACTAAAGCCAAGAGAGGGAAAGAATAAAATAAATATATGTAAGTGTGAAAAAGTAGGAATTTAAAAATTCTAACTCTAATAAATTTGAAAACCTGCCTGAAGAAGATGACAGATCAGAAAAATTTTAAACTGCCCATACTTACACAAGAAAAGATAGAAGATTCACTCTCATTAACAAATATGGGATAATTTCAGAAAAGAACTATTCCTTAAAAGCAAGTGTCAGACCTAGAAGGTTCATGGATTAATCTAATCTTCTATGATATTTAAATCATTCTATGGGGCAGATCAAAATTGAAATGCTTCTCATTGTTTTGGGGAAAGCTATACAACAATGTTAATATCTGGTGAAAAGTACCAATAATTTTCACTTAGGAAATACAATGCCAAAAATTCAAAATGATACTCATAAATTGAATCCAGAGGTACAGAAAAACAACAATATACCATAAACAGTATGGTTCATTCCAGGAATTTTAGGAACATCAATAAAAGTAAATCTTTTAATATAAATGTTATTTATATTGGATATACTGGATAGTGGAGATCTGTTATTTTTGGCCTTCCTCCGATAACAACAGCACTTCAATTGTTCTTGGAGAAATACTAGTCTTTAGGTGGGGCTGTAATGTAACCTAGGCTAGCCAAACAGTAAATCCTTGAAGTTTTACTGGCAGTGTTTGGAGCCAAGATAATCCCTTCTGTAGTACCTAGAGCTGGGAGCCTGGAGCCTCCAGCTACTTAGGAGGCACCACTAAGAGATGTCATGTCTGAGGGTGAAAGTAATATGGACAGGAAGCAAGAGGTAGAAAGGCAGAGAGGAGAGAAAGGGAGAGGGAGCGAGAGACACACCCGTCCTGCTGACATTTAATGCCCTAGCAGCCACACAGGTGAACCTAAAAGCAAGGTTTACCACTGCTCCCTTTGGGCACTCGGTTCAATAGATTTGCTTTTTCGCTTAAATTAGTCTGAGTTGGATTTCTGATACCTGCAACTGAAATAGTCCTAACTGAAACAATTAAACAGTAAAAATAAAAAGTAAATGATGGGGGAAAGGGTATAGCACAGTGGTAGAGTGCACAATTAGCATGCATGAGGTCCTGGGTTCAATCTCCAATACCAATATTAAATAAATAAATAAATAAATAAATAAATAAACAAATAAATAAACCTAATTCCCTCCTCAAACAAAAAGAAATTTTTTTAAAAAGGAAAAAAAGTAAATGATGAAACTACAAAGACATGATAAAATTCAACATCCATATCTAAATTTAAAAAATAACACTACAAAAGCAGGAAGATCATTTGTGAAGACTATTTCACAACTAGTTAAAAGTATCACAAACCAGCAGCCAGAATAACATATATCACCATCCATTCAACCGTTCAATCTGAAAACCTGGTTGTCATCCTTCCCCTACCACCACTCTATTAAAAGCAGCCACATTCTCCTGCCTGGACTACTGCATAGCCTAATAGGTTTTCCAGTTTCTTCTCTTGCTTCCCACCTCTCGTACCCTCCTTCCTACATCCTCCTTGCTCCTTGTAACCCCACGTAGTCTCCACAAAGCTGCCAGCATGAGCACTGGAAAACATCAATAGGGTCAGATTACTCTCTGGTTGAACACCCTTCCACTGCACTTAGAAACTTTTTTCAAACTCCTTAGTCTTGCCTGTAGAGTTGGGCATGATCCGGCTCCGGCTACTTCTCCCATATGCCATTGCTATTAATCATGCACCAGCTACACTACCTTCTTTCAAGGTTTTCTCAAACACACTTCTCTTTCCGTCCTCTGAGCCTTCACATGTTGTATTCCCTCTGCCTGGAATGCGTCTCTTTTTATTTCAGGTCTCAATTTAAATCTCACCCTTTCAGGGACTCCTGTATGGTCTCTCTGCTACCAGTTCTTGATTTCATCCAATCCTCTGACCACAATGCAGTCTGAGAAATCTCTTAAAAATAAAAATATGAAGAAAAAAGAAAAGAAAATCTGAATGTGGCATTCCTCTACTTAAAACTTGTATTAGTAGGGAACATTTCTCACTGGGCAAATCAAGACAGCCCAGAGCTGGACCTAGGAAAGAAGGACCTAGGTATTATAATATTTACTTTTACACATTGGCCTTCTGCTCTCTTAATGCAGAGAGACTTTATCTGTACAGAAAAAAGATGGCCTTCAGAAACCTTAGACTCACATCCCAACAACTCTCCCAGAGGAAAAAATCTACCACTATCTCTGGCTAGAAAAGTCCTAACAATGGACTTACATTGGCTAGGTTTGAGTCACATGCTCATCACTATGTCCAGGAGGACAGAAACTATGAGTGATTCTGCCTGGTCATGTGAGTATCTCTGTGGTGGGACAGATACAGTCTGTTACTAGAAAGACAAAACAGCAATAGCCACATCAAAACCCTTCAGGGTCTCTTATTCCCTTAAAAGCATTCCATGATCTGGCTCCCGTTTCTAGCTTTGACTCTACCCACTTTTCCATTGCTTCAGCAATTCTGAATGCCTTCAAGTTTGTACACCATAGTTGTCTTTTCCTGCTTGGTCTTGATATCTATGTTATGGATAAATAATTAACATATGAATATTTTGGAATAAATTGCATGGTGCAATGCAAAGAGCAGAGACAAAGATTTAACTGAGAATATGGGATCCTTCACTTTCTAGCTGGGTACCTTCACCAAGCTATGAAAGCTTCTGAATCATTAAAAAGGGGGTTAAATACCATTCTTAACTTTAGCTAAGGTACATGAAACACTTGGTACAAAATAAGTATTACTTAAATGGTAGTTTACTTCTTCCCTAGCCCCTCCACAGTGTATCATGTAGTAGAAATACAAAAGGAATTACACCATCCAGATTCTCAAAATCCTACTATCTAGTTGGCGTGAGAAGCCTACTACGTAAGTATATCTGATGTTAAAGAGAATATGAGGCCAAACAGTAAATACTATCCACTGCTCTGTGGTAGAGATGATAAATTTAGAAAAAAGAGATCCATAGTGACTGGAGGGGATCAGACAGCTCCACAAAGAGGGCAAAATGTGCAGTCTTAGAGGATAATTAAAATGAAGAGTGAGAGAGACGTCTCCTCTCCCTACCTTCGGGGGCACAAACACATATTGGTAAAACCATGAAGCTGCCCCCTTAGTTAAAGAGGGTGGATGTGGATCATGGAAGATTTTGATGGCCAGACTGTGGAGCTGAGATTTGATAAAGTAGAAAATACGGAGCTAATAACAGTTTGGGGTCAGGAAAAGGACAGAGTGAAGAATGACAATAAATCTTATCTTTTTCATGGGAATATTGTGAAGGATGTATTTTTTTCTTCCCTAAAAAGAAAAGTATTACCTCTCCAAAATGTTATTCAAACATCTTTTTCATTTAAATAAAAGGGAACTAAAGCAAAAAGAAAACAGGCCTCTTGCCTCACTTCATGCTGTAAGATAATCATCAAGAAGAAAGCAGAAGCCAAGGCCTCTAATTGTGGCTCACATAACTTTTTGTATTACTATAATATCGCCACTACATACTGGTTAAAACTGGCCAACCTCAGCTTCTTTATAACTCATCATGTCAACTGTCACTTACACAAACATTCCGTGATATATTTTAATGAACAAGTGTCATTATAAACTTTACCTCATGTAAAAGGTCATAGCACCCTCCAGGAAACACAATGAATAACTCCATACAAAGATGCAAATTATAATTTCAGAATCCTGAGACAAAACTGTCTCACCCTTCCAATGTATCTTTAAAAATGCCCACTATAGGTATTTTTATATCCTTACCCTTTTACAGCTCATTACAAAGGAACTATCAATCAGTTCTATAGCATTCTTAAAACATTGTAAATAGCCATGTGGTTTCTTATTACACCTCAGTCTTCTCCCATTACTCCCTTTATTTTAGGCTCTAAAACTTGGGCATTATTTTCTAACCATATGCTTCATGCCATGCTGGGGATTTTATAACTTTTTGTTTTTATCAAAATGGTACCCTTTTGGTTTAAGCTACATCAGGCTTTTCTTAAATTTACAATTCTAAAAAAATTACTTACAAAACAGAAGTAAAACTAGAGGGTCCAATTAAATAGAAAAATACTTTAAAAAATGATGGTAAGGTTCTTTCTAATGTTTTTTTTTTTACCACTTTACATTTGATAGATTTATAATAAAAGTGAATTATTTCCTTCCATAACTAAGTTGGTATGTAAAGCAAGAGAAAATACAGCCTTACAAATGAACTGTGTATTCTCATAGCTAGTGTCTGAATTTCCAAGATACACAAAAAACATGCTCATGAAATTTGAAAGCTTTTAAAAAATCGGATTCTTCTGAATTCAAAGGCTAGAATTTGGAAGGTTGGGGTGATAGATCTTTGGTCTTCAGATCATTTTTCTCCTTTTATAAATCACTAAGATTATTGAATATAATTAAAATTTGGCAAGAGTATTACTACTACCTTGAGTATTTTAAAGTTTTTCAGAAATGTGGATATTTAAAGGAAGCTATAAGCTCTCAAGAAATTTCAGTATTATTTAAAAACCAAAGAAAAAGATGTGGAAAGTGGCAAGAGTGAAGATTCTTGGGGCCAAACACTCGGGAGCAAATTTTTGGACAATAATTTCTAACAGGTTAAAGTGTTTGGACTAGCATTTTCAACCGTTTCCTCAACAAAGATTTACTTTTACATCAATTTAGACCATATTTCAGTAACAGCCATGATCAATTTTTAATTTTACTGTAACTATTATCAAACAACAGCTCCCCAAAGAAGAAACTTTCCCGTGTGTCTGCCAAATCCCGAGGAAGTGGGCCGTGTGCATTCAGCATTCAGGTAAGCTGTCAGAGGCTAAAAGAAGTGTTTTTGTTCCTTACTGTCAGACGCAGCGTTCATATCTCTTGTGGAATCAAGGCTACAACACACAGATACATACACTCCCAGTTAAGCTGCTACGACGATTGTTAAAGGCAGTTGCACGACAGAAACTTATCTACCAACTCTTAACTCCGCCCCTTCCAGGCCAAATTTCAGAAACAGCATCTCCTTCAGAAAAATGAAGGAAGCAATTTTCACAAGTGGGAGACTCGTCCCGTTCCCCTACCGCGAGCTGTGGGCTGCGCAGGCGGGTAACGAGGGCCTGACAACGGGCGGGGGAGGGGGCGGTCAAGAAATTGCTAGCTCACCGCTGTGGATCCTTTTTTCACCGCTTCCTGGGCATATTCCACTTGGAACAGGTGTCCGTCTGGGGAGAAGACAGTGATGGCCCGGTCGTACCGAGACATAGCGCAGGGTTACAGCGATTCCCGCTGTGCGTCGCACGACACCAAACTCGAGGCCGGCACGGGGGTCGCGCCTGCGGCTACGCACAACCCGGAAGTGCTTGTGCACGCTCCTCAAGGCGCCGCCGGAAGTGTCGTGCCCTTCTTCGCCGGTGCTTCAGGAGTCCACGTGCCCGTCCGCTGCTGCGAGGCTGTGTCTACGAGCTGGCCGTGTTCCTCTGCTACCCTTAGGGCCTGGCGCCTGTGTCCTACTTCTCTCACCCTGGTGTTGCCCCAGCGGGTGGGGTTATAAAAATGACCTCAAAGTTAGTGCTTAACAGTGAGAACTTCCAAGATCAGTTTTGTTTTCCCAAACCTGTTAGAGAACCAGTGGTAAGTTAATTTTCCACCTCTTCCTTTTGGCTTCAAATTCTAAATTTCCTTCTATCTCCCACTCTTCCTCTCCCTCTCTTGTTATCTTATGTTGTTTTAACCCGAGGAAAGAAATGGTAACTTAAGAGTTTTCATTGTTCCTTGA